GAAAATTCGAACCAGAGAAAATTAGATCCAGAGAATTTCTCTGGATAAATCACAGAGAAAATTCCAAATTTCTCTAGACACATCACAGAGAAAATTCCAAAATTTTCTGGACACATTACAGAGAAAATCTCACCAGAGAATTTCTCTAGATTCAACCCAGAGAAATTTCCCTCTCCATCGTAGAGAAATTTACTCAACCCCAGAGAAAATCCCCTCCAACCAGAGAAATTCACTTGTAAACCCCTTGAAACAATGCAAATATACCTGGAAACATAGCAAGTCATTTAATCATTTGAGCTTCAAGCCCAGATTTCAGCCTTTGTAACTTCCTGAATTTATTTCAAATTCTACACAAGAGTTTACTTCATTTTTGTTATCTGCAGTTTAATGGCTTTAGTGACTTGGATATATATTCACAGAGAAAATCTCATCACCAAAGAATTTCTCTGGATTCAATCCAGAGAAATTCTTTAAAACCAGAGAAATTTTCTGCATCACCCAAAAAAAAAAAAAAAAAAAAAACAACAACAAAAAAGAAAACAACAACAACAACAACAACCTAAAACAATGGCTTGAATTATTGAATGTCTCTGCAACTCTCTGCATTATCCATTCATCCATCAATCCCAAAAACCCAACTCAGTCAAATCTACAATTAACCAACTCTCTGCATATTTATCAAGTTCCTTTTTAATTATATTTTTGGTCTTTGAAATTTCTCTGGACACTTCAACCTAGAGAAATTCTTCAAAACCAAAGAAATTCCCTCTTCACCCCAGAAAAATTCACTCAAACCCAGAGAAAATTCCATTCCAATCAAGAGAAATTCACTCAAACCAGAGAAAATCCCCCTCTCTAACCCAGAGAAATTCTCCCTCACAATCTTTTCTGGTTGAAAATCATAAACCTCAGGCAAAATGTGTTCCATGGTTCACAAGAAAAAAATAAATAAATAAATTGATTGAAACAAAATACTAACAAGTTAGAGAAAACTCATTCAATTGTTTACAAGAAAAATAAAATAATAGAAATTACTTGCAAGAAATTTACTAGGCAATTCAAGAGAAAATAACAAAGCATTGTCCATGTGAAGCTCCTCAACCATCTCACAGTGTCATCCCCTTGTAAAGCAAGGAAGTGTTCATATCGCTTAATGCTCTCTTTAAGAGACTCCCCTTTCCAAAAACCCAAAAAATCCCTGACCTTTGGAATGTAAAAATTTAAATCCACAAGCATGAATAAACTACTTAAGACAAAGAGGAAATTCACTCAAACCCAGAGAAAATTCAAATTTCTCTGGGTTCATTTTGACCAATTTTCTCTGGGTTTTCAAATTTCTCTGGGTTTATTTTCACCAATTTTCTCTGGATTTTCAAATTTCTCTGAGTTCATTTATAAACCAGAGAAAATTCAAATTTGATCAATTTTCTCTAAGTTTATTTTCACCAATTTTCTCTGGGTTCATTTTGATCATAGTGTTGCATCTCAACTTGCCCAACAAAAGGAGTTCAACCTGAAGAAACCTGCTTCATATCATTATGACCTCCTTCTTTTGGGCTTCTTGGTGAGCTATTGGCCATGGAACTTCACTTTCTTTCCTTTTGTTTTTTATTGACTTTTATTACTTCTCCAAGGGTGTCACAAATTATTGAACCAGAGTGATTGCCTATGGTTATAGTAAGTGCAGATTTTGCCTTCACTCTTTGATTTTTTTTTTTCCCTTACCAGGTCATATTATGTGGTCTTATTGGTATTCCTCCTGCCAACGAAGTTATTCCCCAATCTCCAATGCATACGAAAAGTTTGGCCACCCTGAAACATCAAGTAACATTTATTTTACATGGCTGTTATTTTAGCAGAATCTTTTTCTGTATAAACCATATCAAATTTCAATGTGTAGGAGTTTTTTTGCATTATGTATCTCTACCTTTTCTAATCCAATGGCATCTTACTTCCTTTTTGTAGTCTGTTTTAAGAATTCCCTTGCTGTTTAGAGTGTCTCTTCATTTTGTCACATCAGTACCTGTGTTTCTATTCTTGTTTTTCTGTTTTGAGATCTGAAGAGAAAAATATTTATTTTGTCTTCCTCCTTGAAACAGCTTCTACGGAATAAACTTGTATCAACAGCAAAAAGAAGTATGAGTAAAAATTCAAACCTGGGTCAATTGTACCGGAGTATGCAAGAAGCATACAATGAAATGCAGACTATGATCAAGGCAAGTGTCTGTCTACTAATTTCCCAAATCCTAACTACATTTTTTTTTTCTTTCTATCATACCCAATCCAAATAAACTTACTTGTATTAGTTTAAACAGCTTTGCTGCAGAACCCTAATACTAATATCTCTAACCCAAAACTACCATTTCCGATTTGCTTGGTGTTTTCCCTATTTTGGTTTAAACAACTCAGCTGCAAATAATCAATCACTCTCTCTCTCTCGAACACATGTAGAAACACTCCGAATTATATCAACGGAAATATACCAAACTGATTGAAAAATTTTGTTTGATCTGTATCTGCCTCATAACCCACAAAAATATACCAAGTTGATCTGAAGGGAGAGGCACTGGCAGCGGTGGCAGAAACAGTAGAGGAGGTGGTAGCTGCGGTAGAGGTGAAGTGATGAGATCGGGGAGAGAGAGAGGTGAAATTGATTTGGAAATTTCTCTGTGTATTTATGAGTGTGTGGATTGAGGACCTTAGACATAATAAAATAATATTGTGGATATCTTACATTACTAAATATGGGAGAGGGATCTTAGACTAATTTTCTCTAAAAATAAAGGTGAAACACTAATAAATCTTAAAATATGATCTTGTGAAATATTTAGTCATCTATTTTTTCTTATGAATCCAAAGGTTCTATTAAAATGAAAATTACACCAAAGGATAATCACTTACATGTTTGGATTTAATTTTTTATGGATAAAACTGGGTTTCTCTAAATATAAAATTACACATTTTGACAATCTGTACTATAGAGGATTTAAATTTTCCCTCATAGAACAAATCTCACATTACAAATAAAAATGTGACACTCCAATAACGTAACATTCTAATGTAACACTCTAATGTAACACATTAAAAAACTCATTGGTGCATTTTTCCCAAACGAAACAACGTAACACTTCAAAAAAACTCATTAGTGTACTTTTTCCAAATGTAATACTTCAATATAACACACAAAAAAATCTCCGTAGTATACTTTTCTCAAACATAATACTCCAAACAACGTAATCCCAAACGTAACACTCCAATGTAACACACACAAAATTCAAAAAAAATTCTTAGTATAATTTTTTCAAATGTGGCACCCATAACTTGAAATTATACATTTGCTCAAAGCTCAATAAGGAATTTTTATACTATTTTTTGAATAGTTTGAAGAATCTTACAAACTTTTAGAATGGTTTACATATCATTTTTCTTTTAAGTATTACATTGAAGTGTTACGTTTGAAAAAAATATACAAAAATTATTATTATTATTTTTTTTTTGACATTGAAATGTTACATTAAGAATTTTTTTAAAATATTATATTGAAATCTTATGTTTAAAAAAAAATATTGTAATTGTAATGATTCCATATATAGGTTTTCGATGTACTTTTAAAACTTTTGATCTCAATTTCTCTCTCTACCCTTCAGTGCTATGCTTTGCCAAGCACCCTGCTGGTTATACTTACATGCGTGTTTATAAAGTTGTCAACTAATTCCGTGATTCCCGTCCTTCGTATCCCATCAATCAAAACTCTTTCCTTGGCAACAACATACGCACGGACACACAGACACACAACACTCTCTCTACTCTCTCTTTCTATATATATATATATATATATGTACCAATTTCTTACTCTTAACATTCTTACGCACAAAAGTATACTTGTAGCAATTTCTGTGAGTATTGCTCTGTTTTTTTTTCATCAAAAATATACTTGCAAGTCTTCCTTTCTTCATTCACAAGAAAACAAGCCATGGAGGTTGAAAATCGAATTCAGATTAAAAAACCCATCAAGCGAAGAATTATTGACAACCACGAATCGCGGAGCAGAGTGATGTACAAGAAGAGAAAAGCCTGTATCATCAAGAAAACAATGGAGCTCTCGATATTGTGCGACATCAATGCCTTCACCATCTGTTTTGGGCCCAACAATGAGGTTGAGACATGGCCTGAAAACCCAACCCACGTCAAAACTCTCATAAACAGGTACAAGAATAACCGCCGAGGCAAACAACTGGTTCAAGCACAACAGCAACAACCCTCTGATCATCATCGTGGCTTCGATGATAAAATCAGGGGTTTATTGGGTTGGAATGATGGTTGGCTTTGTGGGTTGTCAAGAGAACAGTTGATGAGTTTATGGAAATTGATGAAATTGAAATTACAAGAATTAACAAGAAGAATTGAGTTGTTGATGTTCAGTAAGATGCACTACCAGTACCAACCATTAATTGAGCCACCCATGTTCGTGCCGCTTTGGCCATTGAATTGCTATGGAGTTCCTGGAAGTAGTGGTGGCGATGGTAGTGAGTTGAGTGTGCCATTGACATGCGAGTTTAATGAAACATTGGAGGAGACTACTCTTAATGCCATGAACAACTGTGATATTAATCAGATGTGTTTGCAATTTTCTTCGCCTCTCAATGAACTTTTGTTTGCGTCAATGTATACGATGAATCCGCTGCAAATCACTGAGCCTCAGTTGGGTGAAGAAACAATCAGCAGCAGTGACACTGACTCTCAAGCCAATCCCAGTCTCAATGTGAACATGGATTGGATTATTTAGTTGGTTTATTTACTAGCTTTTTTTTTCCCTTCAAATTATGTTTTAGTAGAGACTGAATTGTGCTTTGCATTGCAAATTGTAGGAAGTATGAGTCACATTTTTTGTTACATTATCAGTTGTATCTGTTCTATTCTTCAATTTTAACAAACTTCGAATTATAACTTTTGTATCTGTTGCCCTTAGTTATTATTGTTGATGCACTATCTGGATTCTCACTATAATTTTTGTTTTGAACAATTCTAGACAAATAGTTTAATTTCTCTCCAACACTTACACATGGAATCCTTTTTGGTAAATACATGAAGAAAAGAAAAAAAAAAAGACAAATTTTTTTTTCTCCAACTTGGGTGTCTTCAAGTAGCAAATCCTTCTAATGGAAGACTTTTTGACCAATAATTTTGCTGACCCTGTTAGCTAATTCAACCAAGGTATAATCTCAACCTGCATTTGCATCAAAACACATGATCAGAGACCTCATAACAGAAATCATCAAGCTCAAGTCCTATGATTTGTGTCTGTAATAATTATTTTATTTGCTTCATATGATGACATTTCAAACTGGCAGCATATGCATACCTCATCGGAAGAAGAATTGTACTGAATCAAGACACAACAGTAAACTTTCAAGCATTTCTATTTCTTCAAGTAATGGAAAAATAATCATGCCAACTGATTGGTGTAGCTTTGTAGTGTGCTATCTATAAAAAATATATATAATTTTTTTTGTTGTTGTTGTTGTTGTCAATACGAGTAAAATTTGCAGCATCACAACGGTAGAAACTATACTAAACATTAACGCTCAGTTTGTTTAGGCAAAAAATATTTTTCATAGAAAATGTTTTCTAAAGTGTTTTCATATGTTTGGTTGCATCGTTGAAACTAATGTACTAATGGTTGTATTGGTGGTGGTGGAGGAGTAGAGGTAGAAGCCGGTGGCCGTGGTGGTGTTGATGGCGATGGTGGTAGCAGTGTGGTGCCATTGGTAAGATTTTAGTTCAGAAAATATTTTTCACCATTTAAAAGTGGACACTTCAGGATGCGGAGAAGCTATTATTGCCTAGCTCTTGACCATGGAAAACATTTGCTGTTTCTACCAAAAGCCAAAAAAATATAAAAAAACATTTTTCAGAAAATGTTTTTTGCCCAATAAAACAGAGGGTAATAGAAAGTAGAAGACATCAACAATAAACTGGAAACAGAGCATTCACAAAATTGAATTTGGATATTAATGTCAAGAAAGCATTACCAAAGGGCTCCACAAGTTTCTTATACATGAAAGCCACGGGGACTCCCCAAAACCACCAAAACAGCAAAAAATATGTAAAAACCTGTTGGGTAACCATGCAACTAAACACTTCAGCACTTTGTTCAGGGAAACTTGTAAATATTTTAAGCATCAAACTGTTCCCAAGATCACCTTTAATATCGTGAGACCTTTCAAATATGAATCAGATGACGATTTCACCTCCTTGCTGTGCAATTCTTGAACTGCAAGTTAGTTAAAGCTGTTAGATTCCATCCATACGAGGCAATATACATCCAAATTGTAAAAACAACAGTGAACTAGCAGGACATACAAATTACAACAGGAAGAAAACTACTGAAAGATAATGCAACTCCGACAAAAAGGCTAATGACTCAGACATGGCATGCAAAACTTAACCATTTGAAGCATAAATACGTACCATGTCTCTTTTGGTAGCCTCTCTTTAAAGCTAATAAAGAATAATCAACTCAAAATTAAAGAATGGCCAACTTCAAAGACTGCAGCTAATGACAAAATAAAAATCCTGGCATTTTAGATAAATAAAAGTGGGAATCAACCAATATGAGCACATGGTAAGGAACCAAGGATTCAAATTTTAAGGCAATATGTTGACAAGCTGAGACACTCTCAACAAGCAACTAAGGACTTTGATTCTCTCCATACGTATTATGTCCTTCAAAGTAAAAACAAAAGAAAACAAAGGAACCAGAGGTGACCAAAAACAAAAATCACAATCAATACACTTTGCTACCACTGTTTGGTAATACAACACCAGTTGCTCCGATCACATGCTTATCTCTCACCAACTCTCTTTTTTTAATAAAGTATCTCTGTCATCTCAGCAACTCACCCGTTATTTGCAAGCATTCGTCCATCACAGAGCTCTCCCCTTGTCAACATTTTCCATCACCACTGCCTCTTGCTGCAAGCCACTGTCTACCTTCTAACATGCTCTGGGTTTGCAAAAAACAGTCACTGCCTCAAATCATGCTGCCCCACTTACCCTTCCTCCTCTCAACAAATAAGGACCTTTATCTGATCACAGTGGGCTCCCACTGAACATTGCATTTGAAAATTGTCCTCTTGCTCATAGATCCTGATAGACCAGCTTCATACCTTTGCAAAGAGAAACCTGGCTGATAGAGCCCAATCAGAGACCAGCCCCTTCATCAATATTGAACCTCGTTCATGAAGGCTTTCTGATTGTCACCAATTTCAAACTGGGCCCATTCCTCGAGTACTCTGCCCTGAATGATCACTGCAAGAAAATTCCATTATCACAAAGGCAACTTATTTTTTGTTATATATTTAATACACAAATTAAACGTCACTAAAGATTTTCCAACCTTTCATATCTTCTACACCCTTTGACTTTTGACTTTTCAAATCCTAACCTTACATCCACTCCAAATTATTACTTCCTTTACTTTTGATTTTCGACTTTCAACTACAACCACCACCATCTCTTCTAGTCTTCCCCATCATCCTGCCCTAACATCACCTACTCTACTAACTCTAACCAACTACTTTCACCATCGCAATGCCTTTTCCCAAATTGTATTAGTAGTGGTGAACCAAATTGTGTCCCTTGCTCCCACCAGCTAGGGAGCACAAGAAAGAGAGAGGGTTTCAAGTGTGGGTAGGACTAGAGTTTTAATGAGTTTAAGGTGGTTGCGGAAGGTGAGAAATGGAGTGGGGTGATGTGAAAGGGTCGTAGTATACAGAGAAGAGGTTGTAGTGCATTAGAAAAGGGGAAGTAGTCGAGACAGTGGATGATGATAATCAGGTGGGGAGATATGATGCCAAATTCCCCACAACACCTTAACAGATTCAATCAATGCATCATCATCAGGTGCATTTTGGAACCACTGTCCCAGCCAATCATGAACCGAACATTCCTCACCATTTTTAAAATTAAACCCAAGACAAGAACTCTCCAAATGTGTTTAGAGAAAATACATTGAAAACAAAGATGTTCTAATGCTTTGTCTTCCACTCCACACCTTGAACACACAGGATAAGACACCACAACACATCAAAAAAATTTCAACAGGTAAAATTCTATGTAGAATCTTCCACATAAAAAACGCTCATTTTGGAGGCATCCTTAACTGCCACAACTTCTTCCAACACCCACTAAAGACCCAATTACCCGAATGATGTACCGTCAGTCCCTCTTTCATAGCAAGAAAAAAGACAGATTTAACGGAATATTGACCATCCTTAGTTGGCCTCCACACTAACTGGTCATGTTCATTAACTTGGGGAGATTTATATTCAAAATGTGATTTACCATATTTTCAGGAAAAAGAGTTTGAATCAAAGGTTTTCACAACGACATATCGATTTGATTAATAAGGTGAGCGACTTTAAAGGATCTGAACAATCTACCCATCCCTCTTCCTATCATCTCATCATTAGTTAAAGTAGGAATCCATTGATCATCAAAAGCATCAATACTTTCACCATTTCCGACAACCCACCCCAAACCTTTTTTAAGAAGATCACTTCCCCAAAGAATGCTCCTCCATGCCCATGAGCACCCTGATTTTGGTTTAGCCTCCATAAACACATCTTTCAAACAATATTTTGCCCAGAAAAATCTACTTACAAGACATTGGGGATTCTGAATAATTCTTCATGCTACCTTAGCCAGCAAGGCTTGATTCAACAAACCCGGATCACGAAATCCAAGACCACTTGCTGCCTTTGGTAAGCAAAGAGTATCCCATTTTTTCCAAGTAATTCCCTTACCCTCAGAGCGTTTCCACAAAAAGTTTCCGACAATACTGCAAATTTTACGAATAAAGTACATCGAGGATTTAAACATAAATAACACATGCAAAGGGATTGAAAGAAGAGAATGTCTAACCAAAACACATCTCCCAGCAAAAGACAGAAGACTACGTTTCCGACCCGATAGCTTTGCAGAAAATCTATTCAGAATGTCTAAACAAATCCGTTTTACAAGACCCCGCACCCAAGTACATACCAGGTCTATCCACCAATCTTATCCCAATACAATCACCGAGAAAACCTCGCTGAGCCAATCCCATATTAGGACTAACAATCAGTTCAGATTTATGATAATTGATCTCTAGACCTGATTGATCCCAAAAGGCTTCCAAAAACCATTTGAGGCACCAAATACATTCCAAATCAAATTCCATGAAAAATAAACAGTCATCCGTGAAAAGAAAATGAGAAATAGCCGGTGTATCACGACTGATAGAAATCCCTCTACAAACACCCTGGGACGCAAGAGAATCTAACCCCAATGATAAAACTTGAGTTACCAGAATAAAAAGTTATGGAGACAACAGATCCCCTTGCCTCATACCACAAGTTGGCTGAAACCAATAAGATTGTTGATAATTCACCAAAGTCGAGAAAGATACTGTTGATATACATTGGTAAATCAACTGAATCCAATGTGGACTGAACCCAAAAACCTCCAAAATTTTACAAAGGAAATCCCAACTCACCCGATCATAAGCCTTGTTCATATCTAATTTAAGAGCAAAGGAAGACTTATTCCCCCCTTTCTTTTTCCTAACAAATTCGATTAATTCATGAGCCATCAAAACATTATCCGTAATGAGACGACCCGCAACAAAAGCATTTTGTGATGGGTGAATCAAGTCAGCCAAAATTTTCCTCCACTATTCGCTAATACTTTAGAAATGACTTTATAAATAACATTACAAAGACTAATGGGTTGAAAATCATTCATAGTCTGAGAATCTTTCTTCTTTGGAATTAAAGCTACAAAAGTACGATTCATCTCCTTAAGCACGATTCCTGTATTTAGAAAGGACAGTGCAACATAAACAACCGAATCCCCAACCATATCCCAAAAATTTTGATAAAATTCCGCAATCATACCGTCCAGTCCCAGGGCCTTAGCCCTTCCATAGAAAAAACAGCCTCCTTCACCTCTTGGGCCAAAAAAGGGGAATTCAAAACTCTTTTATGCTCCTCTGACATACTGCAATGGATGGCGGAGAAAATTTGAAAATGGGCAGGGTATGAGAAAGAGGGTATAATACCTAGAAGAAATGCATCCGATTTCTGGAACAAGCTTTTGAAATGATACAAAAATGTTTCCTGAATTTCCATCTGATAAGTACAAATAGACCCATCCTCCCTCTTCAAAAACAGAATCCTTCTCTTGTTGGCACGAATCATTGCAGCCATATAAAAAACTTAGTGTTTTTATCCCCTAGTTGAAGCCATTTTTGTCAAGCTCTTTGCGTCCAATATATTTCCTGTTTCTGTAACAACTCATCTAAATGTTGTCTTAAGAGCTTTTCTTCAATATGAAATAACAATAGATCTGCTCTACTCTGTATCTCTGTCAATTGAGCTCTAACCCTTGTAATCTGCGCAGCCAGACTTCTTTGGTGTAAATTATTCCAATTCCGCAAGTGCTGTATCACAAACTTCTGATGTTGTATTGTTTGAAACGCATACGAACCTTGAACCGGTACAGCCCACGCCTTCTTAACAATTTCCGTTGTAGCTTGATCGATCAAGCATGCTGCCTCAAACCGCTTAGAACTCCTTCTTCATCTAGGTACAGGGTTTGTATCCAGAATTAATGGGCTATGATCAGATCTCTGAATAGGTAGAGCAAGAAGAACCACAAGGCGAAACTGTTGCATCCATGATCATTTATAAAATTCATGAGAACCTTGGCCCCTTGAATAGGTCTACCTACCTTACTATGTTTTTCATACGAATACAAAACTTGATTAAAATCTCCAATCATAACAATTGGCTGAGCACTGGTTGCAATAAAACTCAAAACTTGATTCCATATAACTGACCTTCGATTAACATTAGGATGCCCATAAAACAGTATAAGAACACGCAGTGTCTTAGAATCATCCCCGGTTGTCTAACACTATCAACACCCGTCCAGAATTGAAAACCCATTGTAATTCCTAACCATTCCAATTTGTTTGCCTCCGTTTTAGTCTCCATTAGAAAAATTAAGTTTGGCTTATGAGACTGAGTCAAAAAACAAGCTGTTCAAACTGTCAGAGGGTAACCCATCCCTCGATAGTTCTAACTTAATAGCTTCACAGTGATGAAGAGCTATCCGAACCCAGAATCAAATTCAACAACAGTGCAGTCTCATATTCCAATAAAAAATCATCACAATGATTACCTTCGTTTCTCCTAACCAAACAACCAGCAGCCCCTTCCGAATCCGAGCAATGTTTCTTGCATGGTTTCTCTTCATCCTGCTTTAGCAATTTCTGAATGTCTCTTTTTCTTTTAGTCTTCGTAAACCTCTTATGCCCTCCCTGCAACTCGACTCATTTTTTTGGCTACAGGCCCTTGCAAGTTCACCGGTGAGCTTTTCTTTCTCTTTCCTCTCCTTCCATTGCTCCTCCCTCCCTTCCTGGTTCTCAACCTCACTGCCCTAGAACCATTTTGCCTCAATTGATTCCTCGATTTGTGCAGTTTTCCAAAGGCACAACAGCCCTCCCTGCTCAGCGTACAAATGTCACTGTATTTGTTGATTTGTATTTGTTGATTTTTCAAGGACCCCTCAACGACATTGATTTTGTATTTCAAATCAAAATTCTCCGTTCCATGATTTGTCTTATGAAGTCTCTCTAGTGGATCCAACAAAGAGATTGGTTTGAGTATTTTGAATTAAGTTTTTTTGAATGGTGAATTTTTTTGGTTTTCGTTTTTTTTATCATTATTTTGTTTTTAGTGAATATTTTTAAAATTTGGATGTATTTAAAAAGTAAAAAAGTTGTGAAAAATATTTAAAAAAATTAATAAATATATAAAAATATAAAAAATGTACTGAATTCTCATTTTTTTTGTATTTTTTTATATTTTTGGTATTTAATGAATTTTTAAAAAAATTTTCACAATTTTTTTACTTTTTAGGTATATTTATGTTAGGTATGTCTAAAAATTAAAAAAAAATCTTAAAATATTAAAAAAATTTAGTAAAAATAAAAAAATACGAAAAATAAGAAAGTAGAATTTTCTGAAAAGTATTTTCAAATACTTGTATTTCAATTAATTTATAATATATTGTTATATTCTAATAAGTCTTATTATTTGGTGAATGGCTATCATCTATATTTTTATCCTCCATATTCTTTCATACTTCATTTTTAGTTCAATTCTAGGCTTACATCGATAATTTAAATTTGCAGATAAATGGAAATTTTATTGATAAGACTTTTATATCGTAATCTCACCGTAAAAATCGTTTGCGTAGAAAATTAGTTTCATTAGATATAAGTAAATATATGAAAAAGCACTTTTTATTTTATAAAATGAAAGGTTCAAGTTTAAACTCATAGTTACCATCTATTTTAAAAAATAATATACAATTTATTCATACATCTAGTAATATCCAATGAAATTAGTTTCTTGCATAACTTATATAAATAGTTGAAATTACAAAATGAGCGGTTTAGATTATCATTGTGAGTCTAAAATGAGTCTAAAAAGATTGGAGTATTGAAGGGATCAATTTTTTATTATTTGGACATTTGATCCACTAAATCGTAATTATCATATTTAAGATGTTTTATCCTTAAGAATATTTTTTGAACACTTAGCAACTTGGTGATGTAAACATTCATATTTTATAATGTAAATGTTCACATTGACATGTGAATGTTGACATTACGGAATATTTACACTCTAATATTTTTATTTTATCACGGTTGTCTTTAAAATAATAAATAATTTATTTTAAAAAATATACTCGTTAGAGACAAATACGATAAAATAAAAATAGTGTAATTATTAAATAGACAGACTTATTTATTTATGAATTATATACGCACTAAAACCTTAAAAATAAATGAAATGATTCGGATGCAAATAATTTAAACAAAGGCAATAGCGGTGAGAGCTCTTCCGCAAAACAAACACAAAAAATGGTGAGTTGAGTTGTATCACACCTTGTCCTCATTTTGAAATCTTCGTTCGTTCGTTCGTTCATTCTTCAGATCTGTAACTATCTTTATTAGGTTTTGGGTTTTGATTGAATCTGGTTGTCTTATGCATTGGAATATTACCCTGCATTAAAGACCCATTTTTAGATGAAGAAGATGAAGGAGAGGTTTCATACAACACCTCCATGAAAAGAAGTTTTGTCATGACCCGAACTCGCCTCCGTGGGTTAAGGACATAACCGGCCAGTAATCATGAAATTACCTACGGCCTCAAACCAAAACAAATGTATTATTAACAGAGTTATTGGGGGCTAAACGGAAGCGGTTCAAAATTTTGTCCAAAGAGCGGTGCTTACATGGCACATCCAAACAACCAAACATACATACATTAATAACTCACAACAGAAATACAGTAGCATAAGTTCTGTACAAACAGGATCAACCAAAAGCTAAGTCAACCCATGAAGACTATATACAGACATATGCAAAGTCCTCGCCAACATGACAAAAACAACATAGCATAGCAGAAAGGCGAAGACGAGTCTCGTGCGTGAGACACTAGGGCTGACTCTCCAAAACTCGGTTGTTCCATACAGACTTCACTGGGGCTGGGTCTGGACCTCTCTTGGCTCACTTACAAACACATGAATGAGCGTGAGCGATAGCCCAGTGAATAATATCAAATAAGAAGATACAACAATATGTAGAACAACATACTCCGAACAGCCTTGGGCCCAATTCACATTTTTATTTAACATTTATATACACAATTTAAGTAAAGTGACTGTGGTTTCAAACATACTGGCCTTTGGCCCATTTATCTTTCATTCTTGTCAAAACGGCCTCTGGCCCACTCATTTGTGTCAAAACGACCTCTGACCCATCCATTCATGTCAAAACGGCCTTCGACCCATTCATTCATGTCAAAACGGCCTTTGGCCCATTCGTTCATGTCAAAACGGCCTTTGACCCATTCATTCGTGTCAAAATGGCCTTCGGTCTATTCATTCGTGTCAAAACGGCCTTTGACCCATTCATTCATGTCAAAACGGCTTTCGGCCCATTCATTCATGTTAAAACGGCCTTGGGCCCATTCATTCATGTCAAAACGACCTTTGGCCCATTCATTCATGTCAAAACGGCCTTCGACCCATCCATTTATGTCAAAACGGCCTTGGGCCCATTCATTCGTGTCAAAACGGCCTTGGGCCCATTCATTCGTGTCAAAACGGCTTTTGGCCCATTCATTCGTGTCAAAACGGCCTTTGGCCCATTCATTCATGTCAAAACGGCCTTCGGCCCATTCATTCATTATAACAACCATTGTCCATCAAACGAATCAATGAACTTATAAAACTTACATAGAAGTAAGCAATTTGGACAACAACATATTTCAAATATCTTTGTTAAGATATTACTCACAGTGATCGGTTGGTTGGTTTGCCCTTGAGCTCGACCCTACACATTCCATGAATACAAAAGGGTCACAAACAATTCGATCCATTCTAAATTTACATTTTCCTCCTTAGGCTTCATTCTTATCTCTTTAACTTAATTACAATGCTCAATGCATGCCTAAGAGTACTTAGAAGTGAAAGAGAACAGAAAACGGAACTCAGAATGCATAAACAAAATTTCAGAAAACAGGGTTCTCGCTCGAGCGTGGACTTCCCCGCTCAAGCGGACCCTTGAGGCCTGCAAAAGTACTGGGAGCATCAAAATTACGCTCGAGCTTGAAGTCTAGCGCTCGAGCGGAAGGCCTCTCTACGTGGCTCCCCGCTCGAGCGTGAAATTACCCCGCTCGAGCGGATGCCATGTCTGCAAAAAGTGCTGGATGCATCATTTTTACGCTCAAGCGTGAACTCGGACACTCGAGCTGAAGGTCTGTCTACATAGCTCCCCGCTCGAGCGTGGAATTTCCCTGCTCGAGCGGACATCCAAGTCTACAAAAATACTGGGAGCACGAAATTCACGCTCGAGCGGCGGTTTTCCCCGCTCGAGCGGACTTCAAATTTCTGGAAAATCCAGAACATGTTCTTGAGCTTCAACTTCAAATTCAAAGGCTCCAAATGCATGATTTTGACTCAAACTTCATATATATGTCTACTAACATGGTGCAAACACGAAATTACAACATTTTGAAGCTCAATTTCATAAATCAAACCTGTGCATGGCTTATTTTCCACCAAATTTATTATTAACATAGCAACTTCATGCATTCAAAGCTTTTACTCCCATCGATTGTACATGCATGTGACATATAACCCTCATTCTTATCCCACATGATGAAAAGATGGCCAAATACATGGATTTCAACCAAAATTCAACATGAGTCATGTAATTCAAGCTCAAATATGCAAATTCAAGACAATTACACACATGCATGCATACATTGACCTTCAATTCAACAAAACTAACCCAATTTCATGTCAAACTTACTCTTGATTACCCAATTAGCTTGAATACACAAAATTACAAACTAGAATCCATGAGATACTCACCTAGGAGCTTAATTCTCCTAATCTATAGCAAAATCTTGAGTTTAATCTTCCAATTCTTTACAAACTTGAGCCAAACACAATTTTTCTCCTTTTACCCTCTCTAGCCGACCCTCTCTCTACTCTTAGAGTCAAAAATAAGCCAAGATGCAACAAAATAGGAGAATTGAGGTGTGGTGCCCCTTTTACAACAATTCCTACTAACTCAATTTAATAATAATAAATAATTGGGCACTAATTCAATAATTTAATCAACTTAATTTGATCCGAATCAGTTTTTCAATTAAATTTCACCGTAGGCTCTAGAAATTACGCTAATCATCAAGGCGAAATCAATTTCGGGTTTTGTGGCCGATAAGGCCTTCAATTTAAATTCCAAAACAGATTCTCAAACAGATATTCCTACGGTGAACAGATAGAAATTTAAAACCATATATATTCACATAATGGCACACAAAATCATATTAAACACATAATCATACTTATATTAAGGACCAATTAACATATTACGAAACAGGGGTATCACAAGTTTCATCCTCGCCATGAAAAGTAAACGCATGCAGAGTCAAAGGCCGAAGCGAAGGAGGACAACAATGCCAATTGTTGGAAGAACAAACTCAATTTGAGTTTAAAGATGGTGAATTCCAGAAAAGAGAAGAAGTTGTGAGAGGATTCTAGATTGAAGAAGAGAAGTTCAAAATGAAGAAAATAGAAGCTACTAGGAGAAAGTGGAAGCTTCAAGGAAGCTCTATGGATGAAGCTTAGCTTTGAAGAAATACTATAGCACACACGATTGTGAAGTCTATAAATATGGGTTGATAGATTGTTTTAGATAGAGTGGAATTGTTTTGGTTTGTATCTCAAGATAAAATTTTAAAGAAAAATTTTCAAAATTTGTTTGGTTCAATTTTTTTGAATTTTTTTTTCCAAAATCACTTTCTCTCTTCTACACATCAATCAATCACTTTTTCTCTCTCTTCTCTTCTTCTCAATCATTTTTTTTTTCACACACATCTACTCAACTACAACAAAATATCAAATCATCCCAAACTTCCAAACTTTAAAACTATTTTCAAAATATACAACCAAACAAACCAAAAAAATTTCTAAACTCTTTCTCCAATTTTTTTTTTTTTTTTTGAAAATTTATCTCAAAACACAAACCAAACACACCCGTAATCTTCAGGGAGAAACACAACGGGCTT